TATTGAGCGACGACGGATGAAACGAAAATTCGCGAGTCCTACTGCGGATTTGGACATCAAGTGCTTTTAAAAGGTGAACGATTTTGATTGGAAATCGCAGAATGCAAAGGACGGCGTGATTTGTGGCAAACCTGTCGTAAAACAGGTGCCGCATCTACTATCAGTCAAGGCTACGATAATAGAATGGCAGTAAAGCATTGTATGAATGGGGAGCATTAGGGAAACAGAATGTCTACGAGATTAAGATCCGAGCAAACAGATAGCTGAAGTTAGAATAGAGACAAAAAAATCTCAACTGATAGTTATTGTGATGACAAAAAAGACTTATCAAAGGAACGCCATATCTCCAAATTTTGCGAAACAACTGCCTAGTTAAAATCACCCATAATGAATGAAAGAAGTGTAAAGACGAGGACTTGGAGCGATTGAAAGTCGTACGGAACAAGTAATTAAAGAAATGAGTCATTGAGCAAATAATAACTATCACGATCTTTCTGAAAACAAACATTCTTTAATGCCAATCAAATCGTTTGAAAATAGGTTGATTAGGACTGTTTGAGAGGCACGAAACCAGATAAGTTGCTCACCTAGTGGACGCGTTATCATTTCCTTCCGCTTGTTCAACCTCTCCTCCGGCATCCTCATCTTTCCTCGCCTCATCTATCGCTCCGGTCCCGGTGCAGAGTCGGAAGGCGCGATGCGCAGAAGCGAAGCAGGTAGACCAGGGATCAGGCAACACCGTAGCCAGCTGATGGCACCGCTGCGCAGAGGCGGATGCAGTAGTACCACTGCAGCCAAGGACGTATCTAAGACGGGGGGCAGCAACACTAGTGGCGGAGGAAGAGGCGTGCCAACGCGGTAGAGGCACCGCGGGTGCAGGACAAGGGGGCGTGGGACACGAAGTACTGGCCAATCGAGAAACTAATACGCTGAGATTTGTGGAGAGGTTGGCAAAGGTCCTACGGGCCAACGCCATGTCCGACACTAACAAATAAGAAGGAGAGAGGGAATCAAACCAATGATGGCAAACAAAAGTGGTCGCATACGGAATCAAAGGGCAGTAAGAATACCTGCGTAACTAGGCTCATCTCAGGGGTAGTTAGGGCATAAGTTCATCGTGTAACAAACTCTTTACAAAAGTTGTCCATGCAAGAGAGAATAAAGATCCCAGTTTATATACACTAGTAGATATAAAGCTCTCAATAGTCGCTATTAAAAGCGAAAAGTAGGAGGAGCCGATCGGAAGTATTGGAGTGAAACTGTCAACAAGTAAATTCAGAAAAAGAATAGGTCTCGTTACTAAGATGCCATGG